TTTTTTTTTTTTTTTGATGGACAATGACGTCAAAAGCATGCAAAATAGATTTAGTCAAAGGTCAACGACCCAAATCTAATCTCGAACCACCATAACATTGATAGGTAGGCCCAATCCCAAACCCAATTCAGGAACATTGTAGCTTAATAGGGTATTTCTGTATAGATGCAAACAGTCTGTATCTATGCAGACAATCTGTATCTTTACAGACATGTCTATTTTACCAAACGTCTCTTGAACATAAAGTCTCAAGGTATGGAACCCAAAAAAAGACTGACGAGTATTTTACACTAATTAAATTAAAATTTATTGACTCATGGTTTGAATAAAAAGTTGATTTTCGGCGAATTCAACCAGTCAGTCTTATATGGAAGACACCTTCAAGCAGAGACATGTCGGGTTTAGAATCAAGTTATGACACTATTTGATTATAAGAGACAAATATATGTATATTGGTAGAAGATCAGACAATAACACCTTCTTTTTACGAGAACAAGTGAACACCCTTATTACATGTGATAATACACGTGAGCGGACCTGATGGTGTGCGGACGACATGCCCTACGAGTTAGGTCATGCCAAAGGTCGTTTAAGTCTATGATTTAGTATCTTATGTGATGATGGTCTTGATGGATTATGATATCACATCAAAACATCTTTATCACATGCGATAATACATGTGAAGAAGCTTAGTGGTGTAAGGGCGACTTGACCTGTTACCAAAATCATGCCAAAAGTTGTGCGCATCTCCGATTTAGTATCATATGTGTATCATATGTGATGAAATAATAGTATCATATGTGATTACACCTATATTAAAAGGTGTTTTCGTGTTCTCGTAAAATGAAGACGTTCTCTTTTGAACCCTTCCCTATGTATATTTTTTGCAAAATCATTATTGGTCTGTTGATTATTTCACTGTTCTTTTATAAGCGAGGTCCTGAGTTTAAGTGTTTTATAGCAATTATTTTAGAAACACAATAAATATGAAATTAAAAGCTAAAAACTATAAAATGAGACTACCGATATCCTCGTATCAAAAGCAATTTATGGGTGAGTTTGAGATGAAATGTGATCAAGGGTGGAGATCATTTCTTACGTTTTTCACCAGAATCCAACTCTGTTAAAATATTATATAATTTTATTATCCTAATACACTTTTTAAAATAGATAATAACATCAAAGGGTCTTTGGCCTCTTAGAAGGTCAGAGATTCAAACCTCACAAAAGATGCAAAGGATGTGTGAGTTTATTTGTTACATTTATCGTATATAAGTATTATACATTTAAAAAAGAAATAGAAAATAACACCTTCATTTTCTCTATTTTATAGAATCTTTTAAAAACGCTCTAAATTATTATTGGTTAGCAGTATGTGATGGTGCTCATGTTTAAACCAGATACCTGCTTTCATAGATGTATACCACTCGACCGTTTAGGCAGCACACATAAACGACCTTTGACATCGTGTGTAGCTTAAAATGTAGTATCCGCTCAATATATACCAAACATACAAACATTTATGTTTAGCTACACGTTATCACCATATTTTTAGCTTTTTTGCCTGTTATGTTTTCTACCTTTTTTGTGAGTACAAAATAAACTATGTCACTACTAGAATACTGGGTATTTCCGACTAGATTTCATGTGGACAATTTCCGCCAGAATATTACTGGCGGACAACAAAAAAGTCAACTTTTGTTGACTTTCGACGGAAATCCGCCGGAAAAATTATTCTGGTAAACCAGTACATGTACTGGATAGAACTGTACTTTAGAAAAACCAGCATCATAAAAACGTGTTTGAAATTATTACGAAAGGAAAAGTGGTCACGTGGGTTGTGTTCGGAAACCAAATATATTAGCCAATGGGTATAAATGTCTTTTTGTGCACTTGACGTTTGAATTATATAACTGTTATTTATTCTTAACTGTAAAGATATGTCTGTGTGTTTAGTTTATTTTAAATATGAAGGTATGATATCACGTGAGAGACAAATACAATGTAACGTTCATGGTTTGATGTCACGTATTTGTTGTTTAATACATGATGGATGACCAGTACTAGTGATCAGTAATTTGTGTGAAATAATAACCCACACTGATTGATAAAACCGAACAGCAAATTCAAGGATGGAACACACTGGACCTAAACCAACTGTATTGTATTTGGTTTGACTCTTCGTTCAGTTCTTTTTTCTCAAACATTGGTCCAGAGTTTGGTTTTAAAATCAGAATGAACCATTTTTATTTCTTTTCAAAACCTGAAACATACACCGGTTTATATCTGTTTTTTGAAACTAAAACCTAGGTTTTAGGCCAAACTAATTTACATCGATCTGGTTTTCGGTTTCATTATTTTTGAGTTTTTCGTTTCAGGGTCAGGTGACTGTAACCCGTTACACATCCCTTATAAAATAATAATTTCACTGAAGTAATTCTAAATCTTTCTTACTCGTAATGGAATTTACTGTTTTAGTTAGTCGTTGCAGCAGGTGCTAAAGCATGAGTGTTTTGTCAATATGATGACACATGATAAAACCCTGTTTGATGTAGCATTATTTTGTTCTGGGATAAGTACAAAATACAGTAACAAATATGGTACATTTATTTAATATATAAAAAGTTATAGATTCAAAAAAGTTGCGATTCTTTTTTTATGTACAATCTTGTGATCAGTCAGTCATATGTAAATATGCCATCCACAAGAACATTACAGATTATAAAAGTATCTAGAAAATATTGCAAATTAGAAGGTTTCTATAAAATGTCATTTGAAAATACGTTTGAAATGAAACACTTTAGCAAACTAGTTGTTAAACTAGCTGATGGTTGATAAGTTAACTGATAAACAAATTATATTTGGTAAAACTAGCTGATGAGAATGTAAAATCACCAAAAACGGTATGTTGAAAAATTAATCAATTATAATATTTCAAAATATAATTAAAACAAATCTCTAATAATATAATACATTAATTAATACAAACAAGATG